TATTGGTTGGATTTCAAGGGTAACTTGATACTCAACGTTTCTACCGTTTCAAAGCATACAAAATCGGAAACAGCGTTGTTATGATTACGCTGTGAATAAAGGACAGGTGACTATACGAAAAATATGTCATTGCAAACCTGACTCCGAGCCCGACGGAAAAAGTATATTAAGATGACAATTTGGGCATAAGTGGTCGTAAAATCAATTGGACAAAACGTTAATAGGACGACTGGAATCTTGTAGAAAAGTCATTATACCTTGCACTGCAGCGAAGCTATTGTGCATATTTTGATCAATATATAAATGGATCACACCTTCGATTCTTATGACAGTTAATAATCAACAACTGAGTCGACTGGACAAGCAGTAACGGATTCATATTAACATTTTACTGCCTTTTCGCAAAGCATGGAACTACAATGGAGTCAAAGCTAATATCATCCAATCGGAAACAGCGCGATGCAATCAATCAATATTCTTTTTCGTATCACTGACACTCTGTTTGAATGCTGGTGATGCGATTTCCATCCTGTCGGCAATTTTAGTTCCAAGTGTGCTATTCTGTGTGGTAAGTAATCCATTTTGGTATTCATTTGTTGTTGTTGATCATTCTACTCTTGTTTCTGGCAGTTTTCTATTTCAAAGTTGGTCTCTTATTGTTGTCCTTGCTCCGCTGCCATCTTGCTGCGTGTTTTCTGACCGTCTGCATGCTCTCTATGAGATTTCTATTTCTATTTCTCGTCTTTTCTGCTCTTATTTGCATTGCTTGTTCACATTACAATCAACTGATACCTTGAACCATCGATTCAGAAAAGACTGAGAAACAGTTTTGAGCAAGAGATCTGCTTCGACTCTGCTCGAGTCCGCCGTTGTCCGTAGGTTCTGTTTCAATTTCCTTCAAGTTCGGACATATTTCCGTAGTATCTTACTGCTAGGTACGATGTACTGCTATCATCATAATCATGTCCACACATCAACGACCGTCTTTGACTGGTTATTGCGGAAACATTGCTGCGCAGATCATGCCCTGTTAGAAGAATTCATCACAGATATAACGTAGGTTAATTGTCACGTTATTATTCTACTGTTATATTGTGAAATAAGCATTATCTTTAGAGCTGAGCCAGCAGAACAGCCGCATATATCACCGCCCTGAAAATGTGGACAGAAACTCTTCGGTTATTTCACGGTCCATTAAGTAAGACGATATCATGTTGTATGTAGATGAAACTGCCGGATGTCATTCAGTATTTCGTCTGATTTGTCAAGCAAATTGCCGACCCGACCGACTTTTGCATGAGGTTGAAGCTTTCGACGACCGGAAGAGTGACAACACACACGAATGATTTACGCCGTTTCAGGATTAACGTCGTAATGGCCAAAGGTTTTTGTAACTGGCTGTGCAGGTTTGAAACGTACAAAATTTCCTTTACTTACGATTAAATCTTTGTAATTTGTTTAAGTCAAACTCATGCACACTAGCAAATCGAAAATAAAACAGGTATTTATTCGGATAGTCTTTTTTGCCAAACATTTTCGTGCATGCAGAACTTGTCAACAGACCAAATACACAGCTCGATTAGATCTATGGATTAAGAGCAACATTTATCACATGGAGAGTCGGTAAATAATGAACCTATTTTGGATGATATTGATCCTGAACGTAATTTTCGGGTTATTTGGCATTATTAAACGTCTTAACCTCCATAACCATCACATTGACACTGCCGAAGCGCTTCAGTGGCTTCCCATAAGCCAGCAACATGTAACTTTAGACAAAATTTGTTTTAAAAACATTCATATTGCGACTGTTTTAGATGAATGTTATCCTGAAAAAACATTTCGAAGGAGGCATGTTGCCTGAAGCCGCCTGCGAGCAGCAACTTTATACTTTGCATTAAGCTGAACGGCTGCCGTAAACAGACTAACTGATCCTTCTGTCTGTCCCGGCTTGCTTAAAATTAATAACTTTTATCAAAGCTGACGACGAGCTAAACTGAGTGACAGATTCTAAATGAGAATGTGTGAGGTAAATATTTTTATTATCCGCTTTCCATGAGATGTGACTCTGTCTTGTATATTCTGGAACAGCAAAAGCTTGTCGTAGCTAGTAATGGTTATTAGCTGCAATTTAGCAGGGAGCCAACTGTTGTGATATAAGTTCTACGCATAAATTTTAATTAAAACTGTGTTGGGTTACTAGGCCAGACTCGTTATGCGTCATGTACAAGAACCTAATTACATGAGCTGAGTGGCATTCATTGAAATGACTGCTGCAGTTAATGCCTCAAACTAACACATCATAATACAGCTTGTTGCTACCCCAATAAAAGCATTGCCTTTCAAAGTAGTCGCGAAGTAGCAGATAACCGGACACTACCAATTAGGACCTAAGATATTGCATCAAATATCACCTGTAGCACTTAGTTGCAGTCCAACAGAGGTAGTCTTCATCTTCTTCTTCCATCGCCGCTTCTCCTTTTGGGTCGCGGAGGCAGACGCATCAGACAGTGCTTCCAACGTTCCCGATCCTGTGCCAGATTCTGAACTTCGGCAAAAGTCAAATGCAGTCTGGAAGAGACTCCTTCCATATATTTGCGTCAGTTTAATCTTGGCCGTCCCCTGGGCCGTCTGCTCGACGAACTTGC